AAAGACGAAAAAATGAAACCCAAAGCTAAATATGTAACAATATTTTTCGCAAACTAAACAACCAACCAAATAAATCACACGCGAACAATAAATATACGATATGCAAATAAAATATAACAAGTAAAAAACTGGCAACTGACAAAAAATATTAATGAAGACGAGAAAATAAACACTTAAAACGAAACTATGAAACATCAGGAACAACAAAAAATGATAATACAAATTCTTGCGCCTACAGCTGTCGCCAATCTGATATCAATATCTAAGGTCAAGAGACTATCATAAACTGTTTATAATCCCTTGTCAAAGTTCATTATTAGGACTATTGTATCTCTACACAAATTACCAGAAGATATTTTGCATCAGGGCTAAGTTTTGAACTTTATTTCCGATAGGTGAGATCAATATCGAGTGAGAAATCATTTCTGTAAGTAAAATAGTTATGTACTAACATCAACTTTGGCCCTTTGATCATGCCATGAAAATGAAAAATTAAGCAAAACTTATGAAGCTCTTTATAAATGACTGTAGCAGATCATTTTTTTTTTTTACTTACTTACTTACTTTGGAAGATAAGTGCTCTTGAGATATCTTCTTCAAAATGTCCAAGAATAAACAGGAAACTTTTAATTTCTTGGGAAGTCAAATTGCAACTCTTGTTCAACTCCAAATGTAGCGCTATCAGCTACAAGAATGAGTCTGATGTTAAAAAGAAATCATACGGTTATTGACTTAGTTATTAAAAAAAAGGGAAGAATCTAACATAGGTACTGATTCGAAGATTAATCTGAAAGGAAAATAAAACTGGTTTCCTTGAAAGTATGTACCGTAAAGTGTGTAAAGTCTCCTATGCTACTTGTGTTCCCTTTTCTCCGCTCTATAAGCTTTTAATTCTGGATTTGCTATCTTTAGTTCTTAAAAAAATTCCTTATTCTTGTCAGTAATTTTTAATAATTTTAAACATAGGTACTGATTCGAAGATTGAAAACTGATGTGAACGTGTGGAAAGGCTCTCAGCGGAATTGTGTTCGATGCTGTGTTCTAGGCTTTCATTCGTTCTTTTTTTCGCAAGACCCCATAGGCACAACTGTATGACAGGCATGCAGGGTCTCGTGATTCCCAATCTCCTCTCTATCACTACAGAGTTCCTTTCGGTGAACTGATTGGATGTAATGGACTTTACCGAAGGGTCCAACGTGGGTTTGGCAGGATGCGGGATGAAGCTTAAACCCGAGGCGGGCTGTGGGATATGAAAAATTTTAAAGGTGAGACGCGAGATGAAAATAGGAAGGGCCGGGATGTACTCTGTTTTGAAAGCGAAATAGGGGATAGGACGTGTATAGGTGTGATCATAATTCAGCTCAAGTTACGAGTCACCCGAGAAATTAAAAAGTATCAATTTGCTTTAGAAATGGGCTTAATTGATGCACCCGTGTAAATTGGGATTGACAGGCCTAAATGGCTCAGAAGTACGTCCTGTTTTCTCTGTATTAGTTACAAGTGTTTACACGACTCCACAGTATCTCCTGTTTTCTCACCTTCGTCAGTTATAATTTTGCTACCATGAGTATGTCTGAGTGAACGCCTCTTTCTGTATGATAGCATCGGCGGTCCTTTAAAGATTTCTTTCAGCAATGGTTGTTGCTGTACTAAATGTCACTTCCTCATAAGAATTTATTTAAGGTTTGGAAAGGTTCGATAGTATTGTGTTACTACAAAGGGTAAGATTTGATTATTTGTTTTTCCCTGTGGAAGGAGGGCCCGTTTACGTCTCCCAATTTTCACTTTTGAGAGTCGGTTGTCAATTATGCTTTTCGGGTAGTTTCTCTTAGCCAGGTATGTTTTGAACTGTCTAATTTTCCCTTCAAATTTTTGTTTAGGAGAAGTACTCCTGGAGAGTTGTAACGCTTCGCCTTTAACGAAACCTCCTTTTCTCCTCTGTTGTTGTTCGATCGGCTGAAGAATTTATCTATGTAACAGGAAAGCTTTTCTGTGGGTCTTTCTGCATGTGGAGTTTTTGTGTCTCACCAGGAGCCTTTAAGAGTTTAAGAGTCTCACGCTTAAAGACCGCAAACACACCGAGGAACGATCGCTTTTTAAGCCTTTTTTAGTCTCTTCCAATTTGGATCGCGACGTCTTTACTCATTTTGCGAGTCCTCTTACTATGGTCACGTCCATTGGATACACGTTACCTTTGGAACCACTATGCTTTGTTGTGATAGGCTGTAATGATTGACGCATTTCTAAGAAATCTTTTCTCAGCGGTCTGTTGTCGCCCAGCTTTGTTGATGTTTCTTTGATCGTTGGTACCATGCCTCTAGTATTTATATTCCACTTTTCGTGTTTTTATTGTTTGAGTGAGGTGCACTGGGGATGGCCTCTTTTACTCAGCCTACGAGGATGGGGATCAATGAAGGGGGGGCGTTAACTTCTGTGTTCGGGGGCGCGCTCTGCCGGCAGAGGTTATTCGCGAATCAGATATCTCTATCATGTTTCTTGATTCTTTCTTTAATTTATTGAGAATTTTTTGAAATTTGGAGACCCACAATTAAAAAGAAAAGTTGTAACTAAGTTTTCTTGGGCTGCAGTATGGTCTTATCTGAAAAGTTTAGCCAGTGAACACAACTATTTTCAACCTCTCGATAGTTTTTACTACAAATAATTGTACCTGAATGCCATCGTTTTGTTTTCCAAGATGAAACGAAGGATGGTAGCAGAAACTGATATGGCTTTTAGCTTAATTTTTAACGCGCCTAATTGAAAAAAGCTAGAGTTACTGTGCATTGAGTTACACGCTGAGAACGAAATTTTATTTTCGGAGCAGTCTCCCTTTTTTGGCGCGTAAACTGTAACGTTGACATCAAACTTTTGACTAATCAGATGCGCGTATTGACTATGAGCATTCGAGGGTACAAAGATAGCCTCTGCAGCCATAGTTGAGGGCTGAGGACTGTAATGATTTTCGAGCTTCATTATAGCGTGCACTACCCGAGTATGTTTTTTTTTTTGGACAAATTTTGCATCAAATACCGCCATCTTGACACAAACAATAACGACGACGAACGTGCGGTTACACGCGATGAAGTGGACCTGACATGAGTAAATTAAGCAGTGAGGCACGAGTTACACTGAGTAAACAAGTCATTAGGAGTGGACCGCTGGAAAATTGATGGGGTGGGGGTTGGGCAAGAGGAAATATGATACTATGCCTACTTATTATCGCCCGAATTAAAAGGGTCCGAGAAAAATGAAAAAGAGTCTCAACTTGGGTATAAAAAAAAGGAAGAAAAAGAAAAATAAAGGAGAATCTTTGCATATCCCAAAATCCTTAATGTCCTCCCCTATTATAGTGACTTGAGTTGGGTATAAATTGCAGTAAAAAGATGGACAAAATCCACCCTGACATACAATTTCTGAGAGCGGTCTGGAGAAGCGGATTTATTGGAACCTTTCACGTGGCTGTGACGACGGATATCTTCTTAAATTTCGGTTATAATCGGGCTAATTTTTTAAAATTCTTTACGTGCAAAAATTCTTGTTCTCAGAGCGGAGTTTCAGGATAGAAAAGCCCTGCCCTCGATGGTCTCGAATGAGAAATGCTAGAGAATAAGTTACATTAAATTACCGGTAAATGAAGTAGCTATTCTTCTCACAGTTAACTGCTGACAATAGCTTGCCTTATCGCAGGCGTAGTCACTGTTTCTGAGATGGTTACAGGGCAACCACACAACTGTTTTTTTTCTTACATCAAACGGAATTTTCATCTTTCTTTGGCCTAAAACTCTTTTAAAACTTCCTTAAACACCCTTTGAAATACTTATAATATTGCAATGATAAGAGAACAAGAGGACTGATTCGTTGATCACAACTACTGACATTTGAATTCGTTGCCTTCCAAAATTAGTGGTTATTGTGATTGAGTTCATGATTTGAAGCAATGATTTTAAGATCGTGAGGAAAGGAGGATCTCCTTTGAGTGATCGATAAAATCCATGCCAATCCCAGGTGTTACAGTCGAGGTAGGTGAAACGTCGTTCCAATCCATTATGCCGTAAAATAATTATTATTTGATGGTTGTCTGTTGGTGAGCATTCAGTTGTTTACACCTGATAAGTCAACATTTATCGTGTGCTGAAAGTTTTATGTGACTATTTCAGGATGTGGACGCATACTCTGATGTGTCTAATGGCTCTACGATCTCTGTGGTAAGCCTCTTAAAGATATGATGTTAATATTTCCAAACTTCAAAAAGGTCTTGATTACAGTGAATTTTATCTGTTGTATGCAGCTCGATCTTTCACTGCAAATGTTTGGGATCAGGCAGTTTATTAGGCAGTGTACTCTGTAACTCAAATCTACATCATATAATATAAAAGCAGTGAAGTTTCTATTTAATGATAATATCATGTAGGACAGATTCCAGTTTTGAAGTATACTGTTATGGAAGAATCACAAATTTGTCTGAGACCTGGATGGCTGTCTGGGATTGAGGGGGGGGAGGGGGATCTCTACACTCTAAGTCAAGAGGCTGTTAATTGACCTTTTGAGTGTGGAAGCAATGACTACTGCTCAAATGCAACAAATTGTTCCAAAGCACTCACTTTAAGCTGGGATTGTTCATACCAATTTGGTTTGTGATACCTGGAGGACAAATTTAGTGGCAAGAATGTAATATGTTAAGGATGTGCAGTCTAATGTGGATAAAGTTAGGGTAAATAGATGTGTAAACTTTGTGTTATTTTATACCTCTTTTATGATCTTAATATTTAAAAAAAATGAGTTAAAGTACTATGAAACTATATGTACACCTGTAGTCCAACAAAATAGCTCTGGAACCTCTTTGTAAGTCTAAAAAAAAATGAAACGGTGGTAAAGTTTGCCCATGTGTGCTGAAATTACTTTTGATTAGTCAATACATGATAGAAGTCTCCAGATCAGATCAATACTTTCACAGTTTTCTAAAAGTTGTTATTTGCTTGAATTTCTGCTATTTAGGGCAGTGCGGCATCTGGTGGAAGTGGACACATGCCCAGACCTCCATCAGGTGAGATAATATAGAGTACTTAGTACTAATCATGCTCAAACTTTCTGTCTGCAATAAAATTGGAATATCAGTGGCACAGCTGGGAATATTCACTTCATTACTTTTAAGTACTTTCCTTTTGTTTAACCCTATAACCCCTAAGAGTGACTGGCATCTAATTTCTCCTTACAATGTCAGCCCTGATTCACACATTAAGGTCACAAGAATAAAGGAAATGATCACAAACTAAAGAAGCTTTTGGTTATTAAACAAATTCTCCTTGTCAGCACCTTAGGAAATTTATAGAGAGAACTAGGAAGAATAGTCATACTGATGTTAAGGTGAAATGGCTTAATCATGTCTATGTTACACACCCAGGGAGCTCTAAGAGGTCAAAGTCAGTTCAAGGCAGACGATCAAAAGTTGGTGAGGCGTTCTTTCATTTGTGACATCTTGATGCATTTGTATACACTAATGACTTTGAAACAATTAGATGAGAGAGTTAAGTCAACCTACTCTGTTTTCTGTTACATTTTTGAGATTGGCACATTCTTCTGAAAATTGAATGGTGATGTTTATCAATGTTACCACAGTTAATGTTTTTTATTTCATCTTCTCACATTTTGCCCTTGATCATTTAAATTTGAGTACTGTCACAAGTGATACACCTGTGCATTTGTAACAATCCATCCAAATCTTAGAAAAGTTGGCCAACTTTTTTAGGCTCTTTATGGAAATAATTTTTTTACTGTATGTTCCTTTGTTCTTTACTTTGCCATGCATGGATAGTCCTCTCCAAAAGCTCAATATTTGTGTTATTGAACCCTTCAACTCTCATGGGTGACCAAGAAAGAATTTCTCCTTACAATAATTATTATATATCAAATACAATATCAAACAGACAAGTGATGACAATAAAGAAAAATATCAATAAAGGGATCAGCAGTTGATGGAGTACCAAATTCTCTAAACCAATGTCATAAGAGTTGTATGGCTGGGAGTGAAGGGGTTAAATCAGAATGGATGGTGCATGGCGTTTTTCTTTGTTTACTTCTTGATAGTTCATATTGGGTATCAAAATTATGTTCCATCCCTTTAAAACAACCCTATTGTGTTTGACACAAAGAGGGATAAGGCTTGATGTGTAATTCTGTCCTTCCAGGAAAGTCACCATATTCAAGTTTACAACTGAAAAGCTCATCAAAACAGCAGCCTCCCAAACCCACTGCAAGAAACATGTGGATCACTGCCATGAGAAATGGAACTGCTAGTGAGTGATGTATTGTCTACTAGGTTATATTCTTCCTGTTCCAGACGCACCTTGCAGAATTTTATACAAGTTAATGTAAAAACTATATATTTTGGTAGTCTGCAATAACTTGCCAAACTAAGCCTTGTTTTCTTAAAAGTTTTTGTTATATGATTGGTCTAAATCAGTTCAAAGCAAAGAAAATCTAGGGTTAAGATTAAACACCCTCTTGACTTTTTATCTTTTTAGCCCTGAGTACAGAAAATTCCCCCATAAAGACTTGGGGAGGTTCAAGAGCTTCACAAAATAAACAGAATAAAACTGGCTCTAGATCAAGGCATTTGAGTGATTATGTTCAGGTAAGTTCTTCCCTAAATTTAAAGTGGCTGGAAGCGGAGTAATAATGGCAAGAATAGAATTTCTTGGGTATAATCTGGACTAATTACTAATTACAAGCAGCTATTAAAGTACTAATGAAAAAATTCTTTAAATAGTAACATCAATCCGAGGGCAGCAATTGTGAGTGTAATGGTGATACTTGTTTGTCACCAAGAATCAATGACTGCAAACCAAATGAAGTTGACTGACTGAGTAGTGTTTGTTTGTGCACACAACTAAATTAGGTTGAAAAGGGAGTTCAAATACCAGATATATTTTTCTGTAAGTGTGTTTTAGAGAAAAATGTACCAGGTGGCCATGTATGCAAATCCCTTTCCAATCTGAGCCAGTTTTGTAACATATTAATTAGTAACGACCTCTCTCAGCACAAATGGACCTAAAGCTATTGGTAAACTAATTGTTGTTGATATTAAATAATTAAAGTTCATCTCTAACTTTTTCTAGATTGAAGATCTAAAAAATAAGAATCATATCAGAAGTGCAAGTATGTCTGCAAGTAAGTTTTACTCCATCCATGTAAATTTGTTACAATATGGATATTCTTTTTATTTCATTTTATTTTTGCGATAAACAAACCTTTACTGACCAAGAGAATCATAGAGAAATCTAACCTTTTCATTTTAAGGTGAACCACAGTTGTCTATTGGTGGTCCTGCATATAAACCACAGGAAGACTACTATGATGAGATCATAGAGTTAAAAAAGGTAAGCAGCAGGAAACTAAGATTTCAAACACACAAGCAACATGTTTGCCATCACAGTTATTTTGCATTGCCTCTCTTCACTCTGATCATTCTTTATTTACAAAATCAAAACTCTGTTGTTTGCAACAGGTAATGCACTTAAACCTATCCAGAAATTTTCTCTGTGCTACAGTGTGTTTTGACATTCTTTGTGAAAATCTCCTTTTTAAAACTCTAGAACTGACAAAATATTTTTATTACTAGGTGATTCCTTTCTTATGTATACTCTCTTGTTGGTGTCAACTGACTGCCTGCCAATGAGAAATTTGATGCCACAATTGATTTAATTATGCTCTTTATTATCAAGCTGTTTATTAAGGAGAAAAAACAGTTTTTCTTTTTAGTGGTGGCTGTTTAGTCTTCCTCATTTAAAACCAATTGGTTTTATGAAATCCTTTAGATCATAAATGCCTTGAAAGCAGAAAACAATATTCTAAACACAAAACTCCGCAGGGTGGAAGGAGAAAATGTCTTGAAGGTAAGTTCAGAGTATATTGATTTTATTATCATGTATCTGAATCAGCAGCAGTGTACACTTCTACTGTTAGTAATCCTTTAGTTCTTTACACCCTAACACCAGTATGGAAGTTCTCCATACTGTTCTTTATACATTTCCTATGGTGCTGATGTGGAGAATTTGTTAAGCAATCAAGAGCCATGTTAGTTGGTAATCATTTCCTTTATTTTCACGACCTTAATTTTTGATTCTAGGGTGATATTGTAAGGCAAACTCAGATGCTATTTACTCTTAGGGATCAAAGAACTTCATTAGCCCAACTCCACCACTTGTCATTTACAGCCAGCAAAATGGTTTGATTCTCCCTTAGCTCCGGTTGGAGCATAGGCCATTAACCACTTCCGTCCTCCATCGGGTTCTGTCCTGGGCAAATCTTCCTAAAGTGGCCCAAGTGTGGCCCCAGTTTCTCATTTGGGACTCTACACCTCTTCTCCAGGAGTTCCTGGGACGACCCCTCTTTCTCTTGCCCTGGGGGTTCCAACGTAGTGCCTGCCGGGTGATGTTGTTAGCCGGTTTCCTTAGGATGTGACCTATCCATCTCCACTTTCTCTTTGAGATCTGAGTTATGATTGGTTCCTTGCCTGCTAATTCCCACAGCATCTCGTTCGTTACCCTGTCAGTCCAACTGATTTTTAAAATTCGCCTAAGGCACTTATTGACGAAGGTCTGCAATTTCTGGGACGTTTGCTTAGTTGTTCTCCACGTTTCTGAGCCATAGAGGAGGACTGCTTTGACATTGGTGTTAAAAATTCTAAATTTGGTTCTCCGTGAGATGACATGGGAGGACCACACGCCATAGCAAAATGGTTTGCTATGGAAAAATTTGATAAAAAAATTCTTGAAAAGGATATTTTGTGGTTAAATTTTCTCTTTTTCTATTCTGGTTCCTGGATATGTATAACTTTTTATTAAATTAAAAATAAGGATATAAAATTAACCCAATTTTATTTTATCAGTTATAATAACTGTGGAGATTTTTGTCCTTTATTTACAGGACAGAAAAATGGAGGACCTCTTGAATACAAGAAAGCAGGTATATGACAAGATTGTGTGTGAAAATTAATATCTTAATGCAAAATTGAGCCAACATGGTCAACACTTTGATCTCGAAAGTTAAAATATAATGATTTAATTTTCTTATTTTTATAATTGTTTTAAGTATAAATGAATTAAATTCAGCAGGTAATGAAAACAATATATATGAACCTTGACAAATAATGATTGCAGTAATACAGTAATAATAATGGGGTTTTGATTTTATTTGTACTTTAGCCTGAAGATGTCAGAAGAACATTGACAGACAAAAAAGGAGACACCAGTGCTGTAAGTGGTCAGATGCTTGTGCAGGACAATAACAAACCCTAAATTTATTAGGATTTCATTTGTAAAAGTTTGCAAATACACTGTTCATGTGCAGTTGTGTTTACAAGCATGATTAAAATATGTACAAAAATTTTGAGGTTGCATTTGATATTTAAGAGGGAGGGAACCCAAAATGGAATTCACACAGGTTAACATGCCAAAATGTTTGTTGTTGCCAGAGGTTTTTCCAGTTTTTAACTTCATACAATTACAGAGTTTTAATTCTTCTCTTTTGATAGATTGTCATTCCCTTGCCCACCCACCCAAAATATTTCAAGTTTCCCTGACAATTTGCTAGCAGTAGAGGAAAAGACTGCCCTCAGCCCAAGTGGCCTGCACTGACAGAGCTCATCTTGGTTTTAGGAAGCAACAAGCAGCCATAATTATTTCTAAACTTGTTGGTTGGGATGCTAGTGCACTACCTTTCGGCATTCTGTGTTGTAGTTTTTGTTACAAAGTCATGTTTCCTGCCCAAGAACACAACACAACGACACAGTTTGAATTGCATCCTAAGGACAAGTAGGAGATAGTGTGGCCCAGTTGTTAGGGTGCTGAACTTGTGATCTGGTGGTCCCGGGTTCAAGTCCTACATCCTGCCATTCACTAGATTTGTTCTTGGTTGCCCTGAGTTCAACTCCTCAGCTGTGCTGTGTAAATAGCCAACTGGTCTGCCTCTAGACAATTGGATTTTCCAGCATTTTATGTTTATTTCAGTCATTGACATAAAGCACTATTGTATAGCGATAGAAATAACGCTATATAAATAAATTATTGTTACTATTATTATTATTAGGTAGCTACCAAATTTCCCATTTTCTGCAAGGGGGGGGACTGATTCAAAAGGATAAAATAATCCTAAGGCTTGCTTTTTTTTTAATTTTAGAGTCAGCTGCTACTTGGTGCTCTGACCCTGCCTTACTTTGTCAATCTGATCAAAGTATATGACATGTATTACCGAGATTTAGACCAGATGTACTTCTTATTTTCAGATTGTGAATAGTTTAAAACAGAAGCTCCATGCAGTAGAAAGAACAGTCAAGGACAAAGAAGCAGAATTAAGGTTAAATTCTAACACTAAATTGGTGCTGATGGCTGCTAAATGTTCCCAAGAGAGACCATTCGGGCTCCTCTGAGTTAACACTTTTTCTCCCACAGGTTACCACAAAGAAAAGTAGTTAGAAGAAGGAAAAAAAGCCATTAGAAATTATTGTTTGATCTGACGTCAAATTCTTAGCATGAAAATTATTTGAAATATGTAGCGGACAGTAAAAAGAATTTAAATTTCGATCACTGAAAGTTAATTTCCCTTCCCCTCGTAGAGGTGCAGAACTCATATGTAGCAATCACAACAAATTTTCTATCTGCGTTGTTGTTATTGTTGTTTTTGTTATTTTGTGTTTTTAATTTTCATTTTTATTTCTATTCCAGTCAGCTAAAAAAGGATATAAAAATGACAAATATTGAGGAGCTGCAAATTCAGAGTGAAACATATTACCAAGAGGTAAATTGTGATGGTGTTGTTTAATGACAGTCTGAGTCCTCAGTTAGGAAACAGAATCTTTCTGCTGGTCGTGATTCCTTTAATGTTATTTTACACAATAAGCTGAATTGTACACGCATTTTAATTGATTCTTGTAATCTATTGGAGGACAAACGTTACCATTAAAGAAATTTTACTTTGTTATCATATTACACAAATAAATTCCACGTTGCCGTGATTCTGTTTAGCAATAGATCACAGAAGATATCAAAATGTGGTAATAACATTAGTGACACTCTACGGCGCCTTTTGCGACTCTTTTTTGTTCTTAACTCATTTTGAAGTCATCTATGATCTATGGCTAAACAGACTGAAACGATTTCAACTCGTGTTTCTGTTGTATTTCCACAGGTTCAAAGATTACAATTGGCTCTAATAGAAATGCAGCAATCTCAGTTGAACGGTTCTTTCGGAATGACGAGGTAGTTAAGGGGAAACATTCATGTAGTTTTTTCTGTCGCTTTTCTTGGTATATCAACCACAGAAATTTTCTACTTCTCATCATGATTGTGGGAAAGGAAAATCTCAATATGAATGAAATATTCCATATGCCACTTCCGAGCATGAACTCTCTTCAAGGTATTTCTTTAGTTGCTGGGTGCACGGTGAAACTAAAGGCAGCTGGGATACATAACGAGTAGCGGAGCTACGATAGTTTCCTTCCCACTCCTCTCGCGGCTTTTCTACCCACAAAATCTCGGTAGAACAGCCAACCACCCACGCAACCTACCCCCCCTCCTCCTCCCAAATTGTTGTAATGTTTATCTTCGTTTGTTTTCTGATGGTATTTAAATGTTTTTATGTCTTTCTCGCAGTCCAAGGAATAGTTCTCTTTCAAAAGGAACCAAAGGATCCAAGCCCTCGAACGTTTCTCTTCAAAGGCTAGCAGGTTTGATCGAACAAAAATTGCTTTTACTGTTACTTTAGTTCACAAGATTTAGAACAACTTGTGAGTGAAAACTGAATATGCTGAAACGCATACTCTAACGAGCTATTAGCGATAGTCCTGGTGTAGGACAGGATCATTTCTAACTAAGGCCCTTTTTTTGCTTTTCAGAGGAAAACGAACACCTTAAAGCTGATAATCGCGCTCTTAAGAAAGATCTGTTGACAGCGATTGAAAATGCGTCGAGTTCAGACAAAAAGACTACTCTTAGAGGTACACCTCATTTTAAAATATTAAGTTGTGATGGCAATTTTAAAAAGGAAAAGGAAATCAGTGAAACTAATTTGTTACAGTCCAAATGATCATCTTCGAAAATTATTCTCATTGTGCTACGTTTTTTTAAGTCCGCGGTATTAAAGAGCTTACCTCCCATAAGTGTGGCCTGGGTATGAATTTAAGACCTGGCCTCGCACTCGATTCAACTGAGCTGAGTTTGGGTTTCGTCTTCGTCCTCGTCGGGGGATTTTTCTCCTGTTCTCCGTGTTTCCCTCCTAAAACAACTCCGTAAAATACCATCCTGACTTGTTATCAGCCCCTTAAAACAACTTCAAGAATGCGTCTCTGTCTATTTCTCTATTATCTATAAAATTAAATTTTCTTTCCTATTTCAGCTGAATATGCGGACATGAACCGTGGACAACTTCTCGCGAAGATTCATGAATTGGAAGAAGTGAGTGAAAGTTACCTTATATTAAGAAAAGGAAACACCTTGATCTGAAAAGGCGGGAAAACAAGCGAAGACAGACAGAGATAACGATGGCTGCGAAAACAGAAGACAGATTGATGGGTTTAATACACAATCCACATTCGACATACACCCATTTTAGACGGGTCAGACATACGAACTGAGCAACCACCTCAGGGTTTTATTAATGTTTAACTAGTTGGTAATAGTTTCACTTTCAAAGAGTCTATCATTTAAAGTCATATTGTTGTATAACATTTGCAGAAAGTTCAAGACGCCGACGGAAAGAAAACACAAACTAGGAAAGGACCCTTAGTTGAAGGTAAAGAGGATGAAGAAGTGAGAAGAAAAAGCACATCTAAGGTCACTGCTGAAGGTAAGTAAAAGAAAAAAAAACAATGGAAAGCACAAAGGAATAAATTTATAACCTAACAAATAATGTATAGAAAGATGAACAATTATTGGACGACGCTGAGTGTGATATTGTGATATGCCAGCGGCAAGACACAGACAAACTACGCCGTGATTTGTCTGTGATTTGTCGGACATTTTGCGATAAACGAGTTCATTATGCTTAATTTAATAATTCAAAAGAACAGCTTTAGGGAGCCCTTGAGCCTCTTCCCACATCCTACCATCAACAGATAAAACTTGCTGATAATAAAAGGCTCACCGAAGTTTAGAACACAACATTTTACCCGGTCAAATTCGTAGAGTGCAAGCAAGGAAAACACGCTCACTGTTGAAATTACTCAGGCTACAGAATTTATTCCTTGTTGAACTGTAACATCAAGTGAAATTTTTAAGAAGTTTACTCATTATGCCGGCATTATGCTTGACGTTCTGATTAGGGCATTTTGCCCAAAAATATTCCGGCATAATTTATCTGACCCATATAGCAATACATGGTTAGACGGTATCAGTTAGACGTTTGAGAAGACCATTGTTTGCTTGCAGTCATTTGAAGGTTATGTGGTGGGCCTTTGGCGAGTGAAAACGAAGAAAACAATTCATCCAAAGATGATGCAGTGAACTCGCACAAGTAATTGAATGATTTGTAAGGGCGACTGCTTTTTTTTTCTCAATTCAGTGCCAGGAAGATTGGAGCTGAAGGGAACCACATCCCAGAAACTAGCTCAACTGCAAGAAAGAGAAGTTGAACTCTTAGAAGAGAGAGAAAAGCAACGGGAGATCATTCAACGGCTGAAAGAAGATCGTGCTCATTACAGGGAAGTCGCCGATGATCTCAGGTGAATTAGAATGTTATGTTAGAACAGCTTAGGGAATTCAAGAATTATCGTGTGTCTTTTCTGCTTTTGAACATAAGTTATTGACCGTTCTCTTCTTAATTAACCAGAGTGCAGTTGAAGTCCACTCAAGCAGATCTTGACAGACTGAGAGAAGAGAAGGGTGTTGTTGGGGATAGAAGATCATCCACTAGTTCAGCAAGGTACAGAATTTGTTTCCTAGTTGCTACTGGTTACCTGAAATGTTTTCTTTGTTTGTATTAAGATTTCCCATTTGTATCGATTTTAATACTCCGGTTCTTTTAAATACCGCCATTCATCTCGCGAAAAAAATTTAGGACTGTGAAAACATTAATATTATTTTTAAATTTTTATCTGTTTGCAGTCCAAGGAGGAAGTCATCCGTTAGAGAGGTGCCGCCTCAGGATGGTAACGATGAAGAGATGGATGGCATGTTGAAAGAATTCCAACAGCAACGAGCCGCTAAGGCTCTTCAGAGACAATGGAGAGGATATCAGGGAAGGAAAATGGAAATAGAAAAACAGGATAGACAGGCAGTAGAGACACAAAATCAAGCTGCTACAACACTACAGAAAAATTGGCGGAAACACAGAGATAAGGTACGTGAAGCACATTAAAATAGGAGGATTACGTCCTGTGACATAGGATTGATAAGCGCATTTCGTATGGCCAACCAGAACGAAGGAAACTTTGCTAGGAGCCAAGTAACAAGCAAAGTGAAAACGAGCAAACTGCGCGAAGCGCAGGAAAACGGGAGTGACCATTTTGGTCGTGCATTTGCTTTCTTGCGAGGGCGGCGTGAGTTTTCTCGCCCAATTCCATGGCGCGGTGAAGGAAGTTTTACTCAATAATGAATTACCGTCGACACTTGACTCTTCGAAATAAAAATTTACTGCAAAGAAGCCTTACTTGTTTGTTACTTGAAGGTTCTCTGGCTTGTCACACCAAACCTAAACAGAAGCTTAAAAATGCATTAGACTGTATTGCCAAATAATTGATTTGAAGGCAGCCTGGACTGAACGTTCTCTTTGGAAAAGGGAAATAACTACTTAATTGCTGTCTTTAGCATATGGCGGCGGTCGGCCACGGTTTAAGCCGCTCCGCAATTTTAGTTCTGTTAGTCCTCTTATTTCGAAGTCTTGGCGTTATTAATGATCTAGGGCCATGTGTAAGTTTAGGAGGCACAGTTCAGAGCGTTTTTGTGCCGGGAAGGTTCTCAATGTTCCCTGGAAATGTGTTTTTTCTGGCTCACTCGTCGCAGGCCCAGCAAATT